AATCAAGAGGACATGAGCACAATAGAAAGCAATAACAATCAATCCAACTATGCTATTTGTTCTGGTTGAGCCACAGGCAAGTTTAACAATTGACCAGTTCTCACAATAGAGTTTATCTATGCGGGAGCCACATAATTTCAGTGTGGATGTCAAAGTTACAACCATACACTGACACATTAGAGGTACAACCCAGGTAAAAGCTATTAACGCAGCAGTCCTTTGCACAGACATCACAGAGTGATACTCCAGGGGTCGACATATGGCCACATATCTGTCATAGGCCATAAGAGCTAAAATAGAGAAATCACCTGTTGCATAGGAGTATATAACAAAGACTTGCAAAAGGCATGCTGTATATGATATTACTTGAACGTCAGACAGCAGATCAAAGACAAATTTAGGATAAAAGCCAGCAGCTCCATAGAGTCCATTGAAGCACAGATTACACAAAAAAACATACATGGGTTCATGTAAGTTGTGATCCAAGATTATGGTTAAAATGAGAGACACATTTACCACCAGGATTAGACAATAACACAGTAAACTGAAAGAGAAAAGTAAGATTCTATAGTTGACTGTCACACTATAGCCAGAAAGTGTAAATAGAACTACACCAGACATATTCATTTTGCAGTAATCCTCAAAAATCAGAGCAGTCAAAGTTATAAACAGTATTCAATAGACAGATTGTAATGCAGTAAAAAAAAAAGGTTAAACACTCATTGTTAGTTAGGAATATATACTGTGCATGTTGGACATTACATGTCCAGATGTCTCACTGTTGTACAGTGGCATTTATGGTAGATGTTAGAGGGAGCTCCCTCCCTACAGCAGACGTATCATCAGCTGGCAGCAAATCATTGTACAGTGTTACGTTATTGAAGGTTTTCTTGATTGAAATATATTGGTGGAGAAAAAAAGACGTTACTAATTCAACTGTCATTCATAACTTAAAGATATTTAACCCTTTTATTAGAATTGTTAATGGTGAAATGTTTTAGGCTAAACTGATTATAAAAACACTCATGACCACATTAGGGGCTCTAGTTTCGCAGACCGGGCGAGGCAGGGGCACAGCGCACCTGCGCTTCGCCAACTGGGTGTGGCCAGGCGGATTTTGCAAGTTTGGCACACCATGCGCCCTGGCGCAGCTACTCCTCTTTCCCACCTCCGTCCCTCCTACCTGCTCAAGTCAGAAAGAGGGAGGAAAACACACATCACACCAGGAAAACACATCACACCAATCAAATGAGCCCCTCTCTTCGCCCTTAAATGCGCCGCGCGAAGGGGTAATGAGAGTTTACTAAATTCGCCATGGCAGAAGAGAGCAGCAGCGTCAGACGGCCAAATTTCTCCCAGGAGGAAACTGATGTTTTGGTCCAAGCTTGCAGTGTCCGAATATACGGAACTGCGAGCAGACCTCCACGGGCTGATAATGCAAAGGTAGCCTGGGAGGAGGTCACCACAATTGTAAATCAATGTTGCGTTTCTCTTGTGCGCGCGCTCTCTCTTTCTCTCTCGCAGTCTCACTCTGTTTCTTTTCTTTTGACTTTTCTAAGATGACAGATGCTGAATATATACTCACTATCTGATGCTGTGGCTGTTTGTGGTTGGCTGAGAGGGATGTGAACTCATTAATTTGCAGCTGTGTTAATCAAATCAGGTTCGGTTTCCATTACGCGTGCCAAACGTGCCAAACGGTGCCAATCCCCTTTGACCTGACATCAAATATGATGGGACAGTCGATATAAAGATACATTTATGTGCTGATTGCAGATAGTTGCATTGAATAGTGTTTTTTGGGTATTTATTGCATCGTTAATGTGCCTGATATTCTGGAAACCTGCCTGTGAGGTTTTGGTGACGTGTGCGCACTGTCCGCCGGTCAGCCAAACTTTGGCTTACACCGGCTGCACTCCCCCTGCGCTGACAGTAGACGTGGTTTCAGCTGGTGAGCTTTTAGCGCACCTTCAGCGAAGCCTTTTGGCACGAAACTGTCACTGCGCCAAGCTGGATCTATCGACACCTCCCCCTGCTGCGCCGCCACACCCATCTCAGCGCACCTCGGTCTGCCAAACTACCAAACTGAGCGTGCCTCGGGTTGCACTGCTCAAAACTAGCTCGGCGCGGTGTTCGACACCCTGCGCCACCCTGCACTGCGCCGGGAAACTAGAGCCCTAGGTGGCCCAGAGAATGTCAACATCTGCTCACAAGTTATGTGCCATTTGTTGTACACCATTGTCTGCCCTCAACAACCATGCAAGCCAAGGCTTTTGGTGCCTTGGCTGGCTGCACCAGATCAAGCCAGGTGTTGGAGCATGCAGCAGTTCTCCTATTCACACAGAACCAGTAGTACCAGTAGTATTGTATTGTCTGAGGATGACTCATTTTAGTAACTATCTACAGTAAAAAAGAAAAAAACAAGCAAAGAAACAAACAAAACTCATTTTATACACGGGGCCTTCAAAGTGCTCTCTGAAACTAGACCTGGCATGGCTTGTGTCCAAAAGATGAAACAATCTAAACTTTGTCGTAGAGCTAAACCAAATACATCATTGGAAAGGTCTCAACCTGGAGAGTAACATATGTCAGTATGAAGATTCTACATGGCTCCTGCTTTCAGCTATTCACCTTAGAACTTTGGCCTCAGTGCATATTTGAGGGCTTATAACTCAGCAACAAAAGGGGGTACAGACATGGGACCAACTGTTATAGAGAGCTCTTGACCTCAGCTATCATGTGAGTGTAGTCAACAACTGGGGGTGCTGTCAGATATGGGTAAAATATGGATTAAAAATAATTTTCACCCATTTAGAAATTAGATATTTAAAATCTGATTACACAAGTGTGTTTACGACCCCCTTTAAGTCCACAGTGTACTCTCAATTCAGTATTTACAACTTCCAAATCTGGGAACAACGCTTATCTTTTTAAAAAACTACAATTCCCTGGGACCATGCCATGCAGCTTGATACATATCAGCAACATAGTTGTAGTTCTTCTGATTTGCAAAGTAGGGTTCTAAATAGGGTTGTAAAAAGATATATCTAATATCTAGTAAAGCCGAACTAGTAAACACACTACACCTAGATTATTAACTATGTTAAGAAAAAGTAAAGATGTCGGCTAATTTTCGATATTTAAGCTAATATGCTAGAAACAGCGTTTTTGGGACGGTAGGTTTATTGTGGCTTGTAAAATAGAGTTGTAAAAAGATAGATGTACTGAATATATCTAATATCTAGTAAAGCCGAACTAGTAATGAAACTGCACCTAGATGAAATATGTCAAGAAAAAGTAAGGATGATGGTTAATTTTAGATATTTTAGCAAGTTCTCTAGAAACAGCGTTTTGGGACTGAATATTTGAATATATCAAATATCTAGTACAGCCGAACTATCATGTTATTATTATTATTATTATTATTATTATTATTATTATTATTATTGTTGTTGGGAAATTATAACAGAGGAATATATTTGCCATTTTAATATCAAGAACACTTTCGTGTTTTTGTGTGTATACGGAATGTTGTTGAATCAGGGAATCCGTGTGTCCACCACGAAAAAGGATCCTAATTGACTTTACATTGGCATTGTTTCCGTGGTACCGGCACGTAATTTCAACCCATTACACGCTGCCACCACGGAATTCGGTGTTAAGAGGTCGTGGTCATTTCACGTATTTAATGCTAGTTTCCGGGGATTCCTGTTTTTCTCCCATTTTAAGGACAACTTTTCTCTCCTTTCCACTGCCATCACCTCTCAGTCACTATTAACTCTTCACATAGTGATGAGTTTTACACCTGTCAGAGAGTAAGAACACTTCCAATTGTCAGGACTGAGCACCATCTTCCATTCTGAACCCACCACATGACTAAAAGTTGACCAACTTGACAACACATGCAGCATTAAGAAAAAAAATTCACCAGTATGCTGACACACAAAAACACCAATTTGATGATGTGCAGCATTTAGAAAAGGCGCTGCAAGAAGCTCATAACACAAAACAGAAACTGTTTCCTGAGGGGGAACTAACAAGTGATGCATATGGCTGGGACACACTTGTTGCCATGGGTCATGGACTTTAAGGTAGCGACTGTAGCAACTAGAATTCAGCCAGCACAAACCCCAGCACCAAGTATACACCCCAACTCTCCGTGGGATCAGCAAACTTTCTGTTGCTGCTGTTACATCGGTTAGACTCAGAAACCAGCCCGCTGTTACCCCCGGTGCCGGGTGTGCACTGGCTGACTTCAAGTCACTATAGCTGTTAACTTAAGTTAACAGTTTAGTTATGTAAACTCAAAAGGTCGGAAAGGATTTGTATAATTTGATATGCCCATTCCACTTTAAAATGTTCAAGGCTACTTCCATTCTTTAAACTACTTCTTCTTCATCTTCTTCTCTTTTTAATACAATCAAAAAAAAGGTGTAAACAGGGCTAAAATATTGTCAAGGCCTCTGCGCACCAAAGCACAAGCCACGACAAACCAACTTACACAGCAGTCCTTTGCACAGACATTACTAAGTGTTAGGCCCACTCCAGGGGTCGACACATCTGTCATAGGTCATAAGAGCTAAAACAGAATGGTCAACCATTGAATGAACACATTTGCAAAAGGCATCCTGCATTTGATGTAACACAAATATCTGACAAGGGATTGAAACAAATTTACGGTAAAGGGCTGCAGTCCCATAAAGTCCACTGATGCACAGATTACACAAACCAGTACATGGGTTTTGATCCAATATTATGGTTAAAATAAGAGACACATTTACCACCACAATATCAGTATAAAGTGAGAGAAAAAAAGTGTGCATGCCACCTAGGTAGTCATAGTGGTTGAGAGAAGAGCCAAGGCCTGCAGAGCATTCTGGAGGCTTCAAATCCAGGGGTGTGTGGACTTCTGCACTCCCTCTGGGTCTCCAACATGCTCTATAGGCCCTAGCTCTCCTCTCACCTTCAGCGAGCTCCTCCAACTTTTGTCTGTTTTCTCGTTCCAGCGAGCACAGACCCTGAAAAGGAGCTGGACATGTCCAAGAGATAGAACCATATGAACAGGCAGGGAATGGACCATGATGCTGCCGTACATATGTCCTCAGTCTCACCCTGCTGATGAAGGCTGCCAACACTGTCACTCCACGTGTAGAGTGTGCATGCACCACAGACAGAGGGTCCCTGCCCACCTGCCTGTAGGCTTGGGATATGCACTCACATAGCTACTCAAGGTGTTTCTTGGATAGGGCCTTACCGGTCATCTGATGGGTGTGATCAACATAACATGCCAACACATGAAATGGGCAGAACAGATGCAATTTTGCCTTCTTGTCCCCCTCATGGGGTGAAGGACAAAAAACATCTAACTGTATTACTCTCAATCTGAATGAACTCCTTATGTTCTTCGGTACCAAGGAAAGATTTGGTCTGAGACAAGCCCCACTGCAGTCACCACAAAGCAGTGAGCAACTGGGGTGCACCGATAGGGCAGTTAGTTTACATGCTCTATTAGATAAGGTCAACACAAGCAGCAAAGGTATCATGAATGACAACGCCCTCACAGTGGAGCGCTCCAGAGGCTCAAAGGACTCCTTCATGATATGTTGCACAAATGCAGTCATTATTTT